TGCAAAAGCAGGTCACAGGCCACCTTCGGAGCAAGGATTGTAGTTTATCAACTGCTGTTCTCAATAACGCTGATAAATCAAAATGCACAATGAATGATCTGGATAGACTTGGGAAATGCCACTCTTAGTTAATAATCACTGATTAATATTCATTCCAGGGTTACTGTGTGTGAAGTACTGTTCTAAGTATTGTCTGCATTAACGTGCTTAATTCTCACAGCTACCCTGTTTGGTTGTTACTGCTGCCAGCCCCATGTTTTAAAGTTATTATTTTCCATGATATGGTTTTATAGGTATAGGGATTCCCCGCTCCACCTCCCCTTTCTCCATGCCCATTTTCCAAAGTCCCATTTTTTTAATAGATGGGGAAACTGAGGCACGGAGCGGTTAGATACCATGCCCAAGATTATATGCCCAGTAGGTAACAGAATTAGGATTCCAGTTCAAGCAGCTCAGCATACCACACCTTATGCACTGAACGGTTTGTATGTTCATTGTGAGCACTGAGCTCGTTAAGATATTTGGGAGGGAGAAAAAGGAAGAGGGGGACCACGTAGCCCCTGGAATTTCTGGAATAAATGTATTTCGGAGCCATTCACCTTGACACTAAAGCACCACCTGTGTGCTATAAGGAATTGCCAGGCTAGAGCCCTCATGTGGCTTTGTTGTTTGCCCTTACAATGGAGGGTAGGGATGAAACTGCAGAGGCATCTTGATTCGAGAAAAGTACTTGATTGGATCTCATTAAATTTTAATCATAAACTGAATTCAAAATAAATTGAAAGCTGGTTGACAGAGCACAAACAAAGAGTGATGATAAATGGTGATGCATGCTGAGAAAGGGAGATCTTCCAGGGGACGTCTCCGAAGCAAGGGCGGAAGGGATTTGATGAAGGTGTTATGTCCCTGGAAGAAGACAAATCGCATAGCAAGGAAGGGCAGGAGCGCGCAGCCTGAGTAATTAATAAACCGTGTGAGCAGCTCCTAAATTATCAAGCTCGGGGCTCACCAACTGCTGGGAGGTTTTAAAGTGTTCTTTAGGTCAATGAAAAAGTGCAAGAGGTTAGAGATATGCATCAGGAGTATTTCAGGTGGATTTCATATAAATACAGAAATTTACAACTGGGAGGATCCTAAGCTCCAATTTGGATCATACACTTTCAAATACTGGATTCTTCAGGCCTTATTTCGTTCCTCTAGAGAGTAATTTTTTGATACATCTGAAAGTCATGGATTTTTTTAAGTTTTCAAACCAATGAATATTATTTGTTTACTACCCAAATGCATGTGAACTTCCACAACACTGATTAGCTTCACAGATCGTTGGTTTTGGGTGAATTGTTAGGCTCTGATTCAAACTCCTGCAAATACATACTTCCAAGTTTACTTGTAGTTTTCCAGACAGAAAGTTCTTTCACTGGGTTTGCCAGAGAATTGGCAGCAGAGATTGAAGACAAAGGAACATGTAACATGCCTTGCAAACACCCCTGCACAGTCACATTGCCATCATGCTATGGCCTAAGCAGCACACACAGACCTCCTATGAGGAAGTCTGGCTGGGTCTCCAAGAGGCTTAGCTAAAGGAGAAGCTGCACAATGGGACCCAACACACTGACCTGGCTGCTTTGAAAGTTGGCTGGAGAACAACCTCAAACAGCCCCGGTTCTGTGTTATTGTAGGTGTTTTCTTTTTCAGATAAGAAAGTCTCTCCAAGCACATGTTTTTCATCACTAATTGGGTCCAGGCCACAGTGAAGGAGAGAAAAGAATAGAAAGGGAAAATCAAGAAAGGAAGAGAACAGAGTGGAAGGGGAGGGATGTAAGGAACTTGGGGAAAACCCTAAAGGAAGCGGCTGATCAGGCACCAAGGAGGGACCTAAGAGAGAGACTTCTTTCAACCGGAAATGGGGTCTCTCATTGAGTCTGAGAAGGCAAGCTGGAAGGGAAGGCTCGGGTGTAGGTATAGGGCGACCAGGTCCAGGCAAAGTTGGTGGTCCACAAGGGCCTGGGATGGCTCAGGGTGGGATGAGAGGTCAGATAGAGGAGGGAGACCCTCGACTCTGGGAGGGCAGAAAGGAAAGCGCTGGAATCCTGAGCCTGGGAAACACAATGAGGCAAAGGCAGCCAAGTTTTGCTCATCGCCAAGAGGAGCTGCCAGGACCCCAGCCAGCCTGGGCCTGCAGGCTGGGGGCTCCAGGCCATCCCCTCCCTCCCACTGAGCTGGATTTCAGCTGTCTTATCAGGGAAGAGAGCCAACTGGAACAGTGCTGGGGGCCCCCACGTGCGTGAAAACCCTTCCTTTCCCTGCTGCTTTACAACCCTGGTCTCCTACAAGGCCTGTATACACACACACACACACACACAGAGGCACAGGGGGAACTGAGCTGCCAGCCAGCCAAGCACATGTGAGCTCCTGGGAGGCCTCTGGGCATGAGCCACAAAGAATGTTGGAAGCAGACAGGACAGCCTGGGCTTCACCAACTAAAAATATCTTGGTGACAAGGATTCAGGAGGAAACAGGAGAGGCCCACGGGATAGCTCCGTACTTCAAGCTCTCAGCTGCTTTCTGCTGGAAAGGCTGCGAGATCGTTTTGATAAGGCGACGTGATCAAATGGTAGGGGTCATTTCACTGGGTTTGGAAGGAATTTGAAGTGGAAGGTGCCTCTTGGGTGAGCTTTTCTCCTTGGCTGCGGTGGCCTGCAAGCCGCATGTGTTTTTCAAGACTAATCTAAAATTGCCTGCAGCAGGAAAATTATTTGAATCCAGGATATTTCTGAGATTTCCATGCTGGGAGGGGTGGCACAGAGATTTAATTTAGACAAACTACTTCGCCAGAATCTATATTTCTGAATGCCTATTAAAGAGCACCTGTGAATATGGCTGACTCCTCCTCTTCTTTTAATTTTCAGAGCATTTGAAAGTCACTAACTCCTTAGTCCTGGAAGAAGCAGGCATTAATATTTTCCATTTATGCACCCTCTGCAGATACATTATCCTTCAGTTAAGAATCTTTCTCTTCAACACACCCAGCCTCGACAGCCCACCCCAGTGGAGTAACCGCACCATCCATCTCAGCCATGGCCTCTGGCTCCAGTGTGGCGTTCAGGGATCAAAGTTAGGCGGGTCACCAAAGAGCCTGATTTCAGATAACGCTGTCTCCTTCTTGGAAAGTAAAAGCAGGAACTCATGGCGACTCTCGAATCCTGGCTTCTCTCATCCCAGGGGAACAGACAGAGGCCAGTGTTGGGCTCTGAGATTCCTCTCCCCCTACCCCTGGCCTCCACGCTGCAGAAACAGGTTAGCCCTACCAGGAGCGTTCAGGCAGCCCAGCCACATCAGCTGGAGTCTGTCAGCACTGGACTGACAGCTAGCAATAACTCTGAAGAAACAACAGCAATGAAAAACATAGTAAGGTGTGGTCTGGAAAGGGTTAAGGATTCCATGTACACGCCATCACCGGCACAAGCACTTGCACACACACAGGGGCTTACGCTGTGTCTCACTGTTTCCTTCCCCCCCCCCCCCCCCCCGCCATGGACTGCCCTCCCTGGCCTGGCAGGAGGTGGTTCTCAGCTCCTGCTGAGTCAGTACCGCTGGCTCCGGAAGCTGGGCGTGCCTGCAGGTTCTCTGGCCCATGTTGCTTTTGGTGGCAAATACGCAGGTCAATCCTTCCTTCCTGGGTTAGCCAAACTGGACTTGGAAACCCTGATTTTCTCCATTACGGCCCAGAACCCAGTGTTGCCCACAGTCTAGGCAGCCCTGCTGACTGCCAAGGGCCTCAGCCTCACCCAAGCTTTTCGCCTTTGACCTTAAGGGCAGAGGAGCTCACAGAAATCAGAGAAGCTCACCAGCAAGGAACATGAGGCGGTCTCATGAGCCCTGCGATGGTGTGCTTGGGGCGTGGGGAGTGGAAAAGGACGGAAGAGTATTAAGAATCAAGTCCCTTTCCTCCCAGGGCTAACCAATAGGCAGAAGGAGGTCAAATTTAGGAACATGAATGATCGGTGAACAAAACCATCCTCCAAGATCCCCGTTTTGGCTGCCCTTCCGAGACTAGCTTATTCCTATGTTGTTAGAAGGAGATCTAGACTCTAATCAGGCTAGCTCACCCTCCACCCTCCCCGCCCCCAAACACTTTCCGATGAAGAAATCCAGACTCCAGGAGCCACAGGCAATTGCCTTAGTCATGGCACCACAAGAAGTAGAGCAAACACTTGGAATTGGCTTTTTGCCCTCCTTTTTCTTATAACCTTGACCATTTTGCCTCCTGTTCCTTTAAAAACACACACACACACACACATACACAAATGTTCTATTCCAAAAGCCCATCTTGAACATGAAACTGATCAGCTTCTAAGGTCAAGCACAAGCCTTTCTGGTTTTGCTGGCTGCTTCCAGTGCCAGCAATGGTCTGGGCTGCTGGGGGAGGAGGGGCGTGAGAGAGTCGGAGGAGGAGGCACTTGGGCCGGCATGGGCCCAAGCAGAACTTCCTGGCCCAAGAATGTTGTGTTGATTTTTCTTCCCTCTTGCATGAAACACGGCTGGAGAACTGGGACTTTTCTTTCCCCCTCTGCTGCTGACGCGCTCTGAGGCTGGAAGCCAATTATTTAATCCATGCCATCCCCAGCTGCCTCGTAGGAGAAATGGAGCTTGAATATCTTGCTTGAGAGTTGTGGGGACACCAAATACCTAAACAAGTGGTTCCCAGGCAGCCCTGAACAGGACCCGTCTGCGTGCCACCTGGCCCCAAAGAGGGAATCACGTCTGGCCTGGCTGAAACCCTAAACCTCCGGCGGCACGTTGCTGTGGCAGAAAGTCAACTGTCATTCCCTCCAGCCGCTCTTAAGCACCAACAAGTGGAGTTCAAGGCGGGGAGGGGCGGAGGCAAGAGAGCAGGAAGGCAGAACGTTTCAATAAATAAGAGACTGCGCCTAGGAAAATGGGTCAGCGGCTCAAAGTCAGGCAGGCAGGCAGGCAGGCAGCAAAGCTGAGTAACTTACCTTGGGACAGACGCCGACGACGGGAGGAGGGGGGCCCCAGGTGGTCGCTCTGCTTCTCCAGGTTCTCCGCCTTCAGGTTGCTCTCGCCCTCCCCGGGCTCAGGTAAGTGGCAGAGCAGGATCTGAGGCAGGAAGTGGAAGTCGTATGCAAATTTCTAGCGAGGCTAGGAAGCCTGGGCTCCTGATCTCCCTGTGGGCAGTGAATCAACAGGCGAGGAGTCACTATATTTCTTAAAACAGAAACCTCCTTCTTTCACTAGAGAGGGCCAGCGGCCAATAAGGCTGCGTGGTGGGGTGTGTGTGTGTGTTGAGAATGTCACCACCCAGCTAAGAGGCTGCTGGGGACCTGAGGAAGTGTCTCCAGGAGGGGCTGGAACAGACTGTTTCTCCCCCAGGAGGAGGATTGGGAGCAGCTAATGGCGAGGGGTGTGAAACTGGAGCCTCTTCGCAGCTCCTGGGACCCTTGGCTGCATTTTTCATGACTTCATTGTTTAATCGGAAGAAGCAGCTGGTATCAAAGCAATGCTGATGAGAACCTGGAGAGTGGTGTGAGGTGTTGGGTGCTTCAGGGGTGGAGGGTGTGGGCTATGAATCCAGCTGTGCCCCTAGGCTGCTCACTGTGCTCCTGGTAGTGGACACATGGGAGGGTCAGTCCACTGGCTGGCAGCTCTTCATCCCCAGGTGGTAAACATTCCCTAAACCAACCCACCCAGACTGTTCAAGGAGAGTCACGTTGTCCATCCTGATGGAACTAAGAGTATTGGGAATTTGATCCTCTCACAGCAGTCCTTTTTCTCATTATTAACTGAAGAGAAATGAATTGCTTTTAAAGTGTGTGTGTGTGTGAGGGGGATGGGTACTGTAGCCTTATGACTAAAGTCCTTTCCTTGTGTGCACCAGGATCCCTTATGGGCGCCGGTTCATATCCCAGTTGCTCCACTTCCTTTCCAGCTCCCTGTCTGTGGCCCGGGAAAGCAGTTGAGGCCCAAAGCTGTGGGATCCTGCATCCATGTGGGACCCTGTACCTACATGGAAGACCCAGAAGAAGCTCCTGGCTCTTGGCTTCTGGTCAACTCAGCTCCAGCCATTGAGGTCACTTTGGGAGTGAGCCAGTGGATGGAAAATCTTTCTATCCTTCTCTGTATAAATCTGACTTTCCAATAAAAATAAAGAAATAAATCTTGTTTTTAAAGTGTATTTGTGTGTGCTTAGATTAAGAAACAAACAAAAAAGTCAGAAGTAGGCAAATCAGGATTACAAGGTGGATGTCTAACAATTCTCCTTTGAGCTCTCAGAAAATCACTGTTGTTTGACGAGAGGAGTGAGTTGGACTATTGTGATGCAGAAGGACTCTCTGATGAAGCTTTCCCAAGCATTCTTCTGCTTAAGTTTTGGCTAACTTTCTCCAAGACACTTCCAATAAACAGATGTTACTATTCTTTGACCCTCCAGAAAGTCAACAAGCAAAATACCTGTAAGCATCCAACAACCGTTGTCATGACACTTTCTCCTGAGAATCTGCTTGTACTTTGACTATGTCCATCTTTTGGTAGCCGCAGCTTGGATTGTGCTTTGTCTTCAGCCATGATTCACCTCCTGTTACGCTTATGCAAAGTACCTGTGGATCCTGACCATACTTATATAAAATCTGTATTAAAGCCACTGTTCTCAGGACCAGCACTGAGTTGTAGAAGGCTATGCCTTTATCTGTGGTTTTGGCATCCCACATGGGTGCTGGTTTGAGTCCCAGCTGCTTTACTTCTGATCCAGTTCCCTGTTTGTGGTCTGGGAAAGTAGCAGCAGAGGATGGCTCAGGTCTTTGGATGCTTGCAACCACATGGAATAATCCAGAAGAAGCTTCGGGTTGGGTCAGCTCCAGCTGTCTGTAGAAAGAACCCAGTGGATGCAAGATCTGTCTCTCTTTGTCTCTTGTCTCTATAGTTTAGCCTTTCCAATAAAAAAAAAAAAAACTAAAACTAAATCATAAAACCAAGCTTCTGCTTTGGGCTGTGACTGATCTGGGAACAATAATTTTGGAGCCATCAAGCAGAAAATGTGCTCCACTGGAGCTCTCTGGTCAGACTTGAGCAAGCTGAACTGATTGAGGCATCTGTGACGTTGGTTGCTGTTTCTGTCCTCTTCTGAGACGATGAACAAGAGCAATCTTTCCTTTACAAACGGATGTGAATGATTTCCCAGTGGAGGCTTCATCTTCACATTATCCTATTCCCTTTTCAAATGAGTTATACTTCTCTAAACTGCTGATTTCCAAGGGGGCATTGTCCCACAAACTTCTGGTAAGGCCTGAAAAAATTTCTCTGTTCTTCCACACTAAAGCTTCACAATAAAGTTGATGTCTGTTCTTACTTCAAGTTTGGTTAGAATTCATGCTGCTCTGAATAGGAACTCTGTAAATTGCTATCTTTTCCTAGTGTCTCAAACTAGATCCCATTGAACATGCTTATAACAAGTTAGTACACATTTATTTGGGCACAAAAAGTTGTGAAATGCATTCATAGCTTTTTCATAATATGCATTTTCTATGAACTTAAAAAAATGAGTTGCTTTATTTTATCTTATTTAACGTTGTGTTTATTTATTTGTGAGACAGAGAAATCTATCTGTTGATTCATTTCCTAAATGCCCACAACAGCTGAGGTTGGAACAGGTCAGAGACAGGAAAACTGGGAACTCAACCTAGGTCTTCTCTGTGGGTGGCAGGGGCCCAAGCACTTGCGTGAGCATCACTTGCTGCTTCTCAGGATATGCATTAGCAGGAGGTTGGAATGGAGAGAACGAGAGCCAATGCTGTGGCGTAACAAGCCACCCACTTGCAGTACCAGATCCCATATGGACACCACTTTGTGTCCCAACTACTCTACTTCTGGTCAGCTCTCTGACCTGGGAAAGCAACAGAGAATGACTCAAGGATTTGGGACCCAGCACACACATGAGAGCTTTGGAGGAGCACCTGGCTCCTGATTTTGGACAGCCCAGCTCTAGCCATTTGGGAAATGAACTAACAGGTGGAAGACTTCCTTTTGTCTTGCCCTCTCTTTGTAACTCTGCCTTTCAAATTAAATAAATAAATCTTTTTAAAAAGAATGGAGAGTAGGGCCAGGACTTGAGCCCAGGAATTCTGATATGGGATGAAGGGGTCCAAATGGGGACCTGTCTGTTGCATGACTTGTTTTTAAAATAGTGTATCCCGGGACAGGCATTGTGACACAGTAGATAAGGTCATTGCATGCCATGTCAGAGTGTTAGTTTGAGTCTTTGATGCTTCCGTTTCAACCCAGAATCCTACTAATGCATCCTGGGAGGCAGCAGGTGATGATCCAAATGTGTGAGCTCTTGCCACCCGTGGGAGAGACCCACACTGTGTTTTGGGCTCCTGGTCTCATCCTGGTCCAACAGTGGATACTGTAGCTAATTGTGAAGTGAACCAGTATGAAGAAGATAACTCCCCTCCTTCTCTCTCTCTTTTTTTTAATCACTCTGCTTTTCAAATAGATGAAAATCAATAAGTGTTTAAAAATAACATATATTGGGCCCAGTGCAGTGGCTCAGCGACTGCATTCTCACCATGCAGGTACTGGAACTTGCTGTGTAGGCATCAGTTCATGTCCCAGCTGCTCCACTTTCCATCCTACTCCCTGCTTGTGGCCTAGGAAAGCAGGAGAGGATGATTCAAAGTCTTGAGGCCCTGCATCTGTGTGGGAGACCCTGAAGAAGCACCTGGCTCCTGGCTTCTGGCTTCAGATCAGCTCAGCTCTGTCACTGCAACCACTTGGGGAATAAACCAGAAGATGGAGGGTCTTTCTCTCTGACTTTTCTCTCTGTAAATCTGCCTTGCCAATAAAAATAAACAGTGAATATTTAAAAATATGTATATACAGTATACACATATCTGCATTTCTTTTAAAAAAAACTATACATTTTATTTTTGATACTTTCCCCTAATTGGGGTGCAAAGTGTCAAAGGCTAGAGCAAAGTGGGTATAACCATTGTTTTGATATTCTTTTTCCCTTCCTGTATCTGGGAGGAGGGGAGAGACAAGGGGAGAAGCCACACCCAACCTTCCAACCCTCCCAGGGTCCCCAGTGTGGGGTATGCTCCGAGGGTCCTGCTCAAGTGGTTTTCATAGTTCAACAGTTCTGTATTGCTGCCAATCTTATAACTCCAATCACGATGAAATCTCTCCAGAATCTAGCAGCTGACATAGTCCACCTTAGAGTTTTCATTTGACCAAGTATTCACTGCCAACTCTTGGCTGGGGTAATTGATGATTGATTTGTTCTGTCCTCCGTCCTCTGCTATGGTACCAGGTATCCTCTACAGGTTCCAGTGTACTGCCAAATCCTTCTTTTGCATCTGGATATGCTGTCTACTGCTCTGTCTAAACCACTGAGAAGGCACAGCTCTGAAACATGCACTCCACAGTCAGATCATGGAACCTGTAATTACTTCCATGGCTGGAGTTTTGAGTCCTGCGGTTCGGCTGGGGGAATTCCCAAACAAACTTCATCTGAGGTGATCCCTTGTGTGTGTGCATGCCAATACAGAGACCAGTAGAGTCCTTTGCCCAAATCGGCCCATGAGAACACTGTTAGTTGCGATTGTTGGGTCAGTTGTCTCCAGCCTTGTCTTCTACACAAACTAATGGGTGTTGCAGTCTGCTCTGATCCTGCCCACCACACACTCAGTAATTCCATACTCCCAAGACCCCAGAGCTTGCTGCTGGTGGCCAGTGGGTGGAGACTAGCACCAGTTGGCGCACTGGCCGCCCACAAACCCAGGACCCTCCCCCCATGTAGCAGTGCTGCATGGGGAGCTATGAACCTCAGCAGGAAGTCTGGGCTGGCGCGAGTACTCCCAACCACAGGCATGTGCCCAAGGGACTCAGACACCCATGCTGTGCTGCTGCTCAGGCTTACTTGGACTCCACATTTCTGTATTTCTTTACACCAGAATATTATGTGTGTATTTGCTTAAGAAAATCAGTCCATATTAAATCCAGATGTAAAGATACAATGCAGTATGCATCTGTACTTCCAAATCAAAGATGAACTTTCAAAGAAGCTGTTGGATATAACTTGACAATAGGATGCTGGACTCTGTCATAGTCTGTACTTGCAATGTCAGGATACACTTAAATAGCAGAATGATGGACTTAAGACTATTTATGAAGGACTATACTGTTGTAATAATATGAAATAAGATGTAGTAACATTATACTGTTGTAATAATATACTATACTATAATAATAATAATATAATATATAATAATGCATATGATATATATATATGATAATATGTTGGGGGTGGGATTTGGGGAGCAGGTAAGGAAAAATCCCAGAATTGTATCATAAAACTAAAAATAAAACAGAGGGAAAAAATGTAAAAAAAAAAAAAATCAGATTGCTTCCATGGCCAGAACTGAGCCAGGCCAGAGCCAGGAGTCTGGAATACCATCTAGGAATCCGTGTACTTGGGCCACTTTCTGCTGCTTTTCCAGACACATTAGCAGGGAGCTGGATTGGAAACAGAGCAGCAAGGACTTGGATTTAGGATTCTGGCATTGCAAATGGTGGCTTAACGCACTGCACCCCAATGCAAGTACCAAAATTTTCATGTATATGAAAAAGCAGAGAGCCAGAGAGACACAGGCACAATTTGATGTTTTCCTTTTACACAAAGCAAGTGGTATTTTTTTTTCTTGAGAAAAGGAATACAATTTCTTGTTTTTAAATAAAAAAAATAGTCTTTATTGCCTTAGCCTTGGAATTTCTGCTTTGAGATAATTTTTAGCATCGTCTTTTGCAGGGATGGGGGAAATAGCCTGTGCATGAGAAGGGCAAGGGGAGGAAGTGGGCAGGGAATAAGGGCATGGCAGGGGTGAAATGCTTTTCCTTTCACAGAGGGCCTGAAATGGGTGGGGCCCAGGCTCCCAGGCTCCGCCCTCAAGGGCTCCCATTGGAGCACCACCCCTCAGGCATGACAGCTGCTGTCCTCCCTGTGTCTCTCTAGCTGTTTTCCTGAGGACCCTGGAGGAGGGACACCAAATATGAAGCATGGCTTCCAATTTATATTTATTTGTTTTAAGATTTATTTATTTATACTGGAAAGGCAGATCATATCTACAGAGAGAAGGAGACGCAGAGAGAAAGATTTTTTAAAATTTTTATTTAAAATTTTAAATTTTATCATACAATTCTGTAGAGTCTGGGATTCTCCTCCCCTCAATCCACCCTCCGATTGATTTTTCCCATATTGTCACAACAGTACATTTTTCATAAGGAGTTACAATGCCATCAGTCAGAGAGAAAGATCTGTCATCCACCGGTTCACACCCTAAATGGCTGCAATGGCTCCGGAGCTGAGACAATCCGAAACCAGAATCCAGGAGTCTCTTTTGAGTGCCCCATGTAGATGCAAGGTCCCAAGGCTTTGGGCCATCTTCTGCTTTCTTAGCCTATTGAGTCATCATACCAACCACAGAAGCTTGACTTTTAACCGCTCTTAGGTGGACCTAAGACATTTTGCTGTGAGAGACAGGTATTTGGGGAAATGAATTCATGGCCTCTGCAAGAGTCTTTCTTCGCTTTCCCCCGAATCACTGAAAAGCAACTTCAAATCCATTTTGAGAAGAACCTCATTTGGGGATATGAAGGAGCTTCTCCTGAGGCCCACAGCTAGGCCACAGAGTAGGATTCAAACCCAGAGCTTGACTTACCTTGGTGGATGTTACTTTGCTTCTCCCCCAACCTTGTTGTAGTCTGTATTCTCTGCCCGCTTGGGTGGAGTCCACATTATTTGCTTTCTTTGCACAATTCTTGGCAACACTGGAGAGGGGAGGAAAGGTGTAAGCTGTAAATGGGTCAGGTTGGGGCCGTGCCATCACCTTGGTGCTGGGTTTCTATAGAGTGACAAGATGTGGCTCAATCCACTCCATTTCTTCAAAACCCTTGAGGTGGAAGGTGCCACATCCCATGCTGTAGTACCTGGGTTCAAATGGAACCTGTGTTCTCACCTCCAGCATTCTTGTTCATGCAGACACTGGGGGAGGCAGCAAGTGATGGCTCAGGAACTAGGTTACCTGTCACCGGTGCAGGAATCCTTCAAGGAGCACTGGGTTCCTGGCTTCAGTGTGGGCCAGCCAAAGCTGGTGCTGGCATTTGGGAGCGAACCAGTGGATGGAAGACCTCTCCCTCTGTTTCTTTGTTGCTCTTTCAGATAAATATTTTTTAAAATAGAACTGTTATTCATTAAAAAAAAAGTAAAACCAGAAAATAGCAAGTGTTGGTGAGGGTGAGAAGAGACGGACATCTTGTACACTGTTGGTGGGATAGGAAAAAGGTGCGACTGCTATGGGAAATAGGATGGCTGTTCCTGTTGTTTATCTAGATCTTTGATCTGCAGAAGAATTGGAATCAGGGGCTGGAACAAGTATCTCATAATCTTAACACCAGTGTTTATAGCAGCATTAATCAAAGAGCCAAGAGGTGGAAACTACCTAAGATTTTCTCAAAAGATGAATGGACAGGGACCAGCAATGTGGCACAGCAAGTTAGACTGCCACTGCAATGCCTGTATTCTTTATCAGAGTGTCGGTTTGAGTCCCAGATGCCTTGCTTCCCATCCAGTTCCCTGATAATACGTCTGGGGAAGCAGCAAAAGATGGATCCTACCCAAGTGCAAGACATGGAAGGAGCTCCAGGCTCCAGGCCACTGGCTGCTGTAGATTCAGGGAGTGAGCCAGTAAAACCAAGATGGCTCTCTATCTTCCTCCCTCTCTCTGTAACTCTGCCTTTATAATAACTAACTAACTAATTAACTAAACAAATGCACCTTTCCTAGAGATGGGCAGATGAAAAAGATGTGGTTTATACAATTATGAAATGTTCAGCTTTGAAAGGGAATAAAGTTCTGATACACGCTACAGCTTGAATGAACCCAAGGGCATTCTGCTAGGTAAGATGTACAAGGCCCACTTACATGAGGCTCTTAGAGAAGTGAGATCAGGATGGGGGTTGTGAGGGGCTGAGAGGGATGGGGGAAGCTGTTGCTTAGCGGACATAGAATTTCAGTTTTGCAAAACGTGGTGCGATAGGCTAATTCCCTGTCTCTGGCAGTGTTATTCCATATGAGAATGCCAGTCCAAGTCTCAGCTGCCTCACTCCTGATCCAGCTCGCTGCAACTGTCCCTGGCAAGGCGGCTCGTACTTGGGCCCCTGCACCTTCATTGGAGATCCAGGTGAAGTTTTGGCCTTTGGCTTTGACCTGTCTCAAAACAGCCTTGGCTGTGGAAACCATGTGGGGAGTACATCAGCAGAAGGTAGATAACTTTTGCTCTTTCAAAATAAATATAAATTTTAAAGCAAGAAATTCTGGCAAATATTAAGAAACAACAACAGCAACAGTTCTGCAGGTGGATGGTGGTGATAGTTGCACAGCAGTGACTGTGCTTTGTGCCACTTAACTACACTTAAAATGGTTCAGGTGTTCAATTCAAAGATTATTTTTATATTTATTTGACAGCAGAGTTACAGAGAAAGGAGGAGAGATAAAGAAAGAGAGAGTCTTCCATCTGCTGGTTCACTGGCTGTGAGAGCTAGGGCTCAGCCAAGCAGAATCCAGGAGCCAGGAGCTTCTTCCAGATCTCCCATATGGGTGCAGGAGTCTAACCCTGGGACCATCTTTGGTTTTTTTCCTAGGCACAATAGCAGGAAGCTGGATCAGAAGCAGAGCAGCTTGGATTCAAATTGGCATCCACATGGGATGCCAGTGTCCCAGGAGGAGGCTTAATCTTATAAGCTGCAGCGCCAGCCCCAAGATGGCCAATTTTTTATGTTTTGGCTATGATTAAAAACAAACCCAAAGCAGTCCTGCAAGGTGGGTTTTACTGCTGTCAATTTATAGGCAAGGAAATCAGAGGGCAGAGAAGGGCTGCACAGCTGGGTTGCAAGTGCCCACAGACTGTGTGAACTGGCTCCCCTGCATGCCAGGCTGGGGCCCACCCAGGGAGCCCAGGAAGGCATACAGCCCTTGCTGCTGCCACAGAGAGTCCCCACCCCCCGCCCACCACCAGGGCACCTCAAGCCTTCCCTCCATGCCCATCTTCCTCTTTGGACTTCCCTTCCTCCAACACCACTGTATTGTATCCCTATTCCTTCCTCTGCTCTTTCCTCTTTAATGTACTCTCAGGGGGAAAAAAAACCCCACTCATTTATACCTAAATTATATGGTGTGAATTTAAATCACTGCAGTACCTCTCAGAGGGGTGCTTGCATTTTAAGCTTCATCACCCTCTATGAAATGAATGGCTTTATTCCATGCTAAAGGAATTTTAGACTGAAGAAAGCAAGTGAGGAACTGGAAGGAGGTGGTGGCAGGTAGGGCAAACCTAGCCCCAAAAAGCACATTTCATAGTGAAAACTGTAGTCCTCAAGTTAGAAGGGAGGTGCAAGGGGACTTCAAACATGTGGAAGGGACTGGCATTGTTGTGCTGCAGGTTAAGTTGCCACCTGCAATGCCACCAGCATCCCATATCAGAGTGCCAGTTTGAGTCCCAGCTGCTCTGCGTCTGATTCAGTTCCCTGCTAATGGTGCTTAGGAAAACAGTGGAAGTTAGTCCAAGCACCTCTTGGACTCTTGCCTCCTATGTAGGAGACCTGGATGGAGGACTGGGCTCCTGGCTTCTGCCTGGCCATTGTGGCATACTCTGGGGAGAGAACCAGTGGATGGAAAATCTCTGTCTCTGCCTTTCAAGTAAATACTGTTTTTTTTTTAAGTTTATGAAAAAATCTGGGGGTGGCACTATGGCATAGTAGGCTGTTTCTGCCTGCCACACCAGGATAGCATATGGGTTCCAACTGGAGTCCTGGCTGCTCCATTTCCCATCCAGCATCCTGTTTACGGCCTGGGAAAGCAGAGGAAGATGGGAACCTACATCCACGTGGGAGACCCAGAAGAAAATCCTGGCTCCTGACTTTGGATCAGCTCAGCTCTGGAGCCATGTGGCCATTTTGGGAGTAAGCCAGTAGATGGAAGACCTCCCTATCTCTTCTCTCTGTAACTGCCTTCAGATAAAAAATAATGTCTTTTAAAAAAAGTTTATGGGAAATAGAAATATCAACTTTCTTTGGTACATAATGTTGCTGCGGTCTACACATCACTTTTGCCATGTACTTCTTGCTGATCCTTGATATGTTTTCTGGACTGACTGCTCTCTCAGGGCTCCAGATGCAAGTTGTAGGCACAGGGAAACAAGAATATGGACTGCTCATGCAAGTCCAACTGACTTTTTCCCAGATTCCAAACTGTTAACCTGTCATCAGAAATACACACACCCTAGAAAATAGAACCCAGGTGGCAGATTTCCTTCTCATCTTTTCTCTGAAGTTCTCCAGGCCTCTTAGCTACCTGGTACCCTAAAAGCACCAAACCCCTGGATGTGGTTGCTAGGGGTCCCTGGGAGGTAACAGATGATGGCCTAAGTACTTAGGTCTGTGCTTAGTTCCTGGCTCTTGATTCAGCTCTGGTTGTTGTGAGATTCTGAGGAATGGAGTGGATGGAAGTTCTTTCTCTTTCTCCCTTCAATAAGTAAACGTAAACCTGAAATGTTAAAAAATGCATTGGCTGTACTTGCTGGCATAGCCTGCTATGCAGAACCTAGGACAAGCCATTTGATGTGAACACCCATCTTCCAGCTATTTACACCCTAAAACTGAGCATTCCCAAGGGGTAGAAAAGGACTGGGGCTTTGTGTTGGGCTTCCTGGCTTGAGTCCCTCTTGACCTCCTGCCAGCCATCGGATCTTAAGGAAGCTTCCTAACCTCTTCACACCCAAATTTCTCAAACTGATTACTGGGGACAGTTAAGAGTCTATTTCAAGGGTAGTGACGGTGGTTTAGTGCTGGCCTCAGCTTTTGCGTTCAGGATGTCTTCTTTCCTCTGGTGACATGGAAGGGTGAGTATTTGCAGCCTCTTCCCCAACACAGTCTTGGTGAGTGATGACCTGGGTGGCTCCACTGAAGCTCCATGCCCTCCTTAGCCATGGACACACTAGCCAATGGCATGCAGCAGCTATTAGGCTAAAGGATGTATGTGCCATGTTTTGCATAGTACTTAACGTTAGCTACTATCCTCATAATAAATATATATTTTTTTAAGATTTATTTATTTATTGGAAAGTCAGATATACTGAGAGGAGGAGAGACAGAGGGGAACATCTTTCGTCCGATGATTCACTCCCCAAGTGAGTGCAACCGCCGATGCTATGCCGATCCAAAGCCAGGAGCCAGGAACTTCTTCCGGGTATCCCACACGGGTGCAGGGTCCCAAAGCATTGGGCCGTCCTCGACTGCTTTCCCAGGCCACAAGCAGGGAGCTGGATGGGAAGTGGAGCTGCCGGGATTAGAACCGGTGCCCATATGGGATCCTGGCGCGTTCAAGACAAGGACTTTAGCCACTAGGCGACGCCGCCGAGCCCAATAAATATTTTTTAAAAAATGAAAACCTTCACCAATGTACCAAGAATCGGCTATTAGTCAGCGTTGCAAGGCTGGGGCAAAAGTTGGCAGAGTGGTTAAGTCCTTACTTGGAGACACCAGCATCCCATATCAGATTGCCTGGTTCCAGCCCCACTCCTTCATTTCTGATCTAGCTTCTGCCAATGAGCAACCTAGGAAGCTCAAATACTTGGGTTCCTGCCTCCATGTAGGAGAGACACCCACATGGCATTCTAGGCTGCTGCGTTTAACCTGCCCCAGCCCTCGTTGTAGTGGGCATTTGGGAAGGGAACTCGCATATAAAAGGTCTCTTTGTCTTCCCCCTCTT